CCCCTGTGCTAGTTCCATTCTTGATTAGTAGGCTCACCAATATCATCTCTGGCATGAGCCTCCAGGCACTTCTCCTAGCCATATTGAAACTTTTGAACCAACTGAAGGAATGGCTTGAATGTGTCCAGTTCAAAGCAAGACCGGGCACCTCATTGCTCACCAACACAGTCCCAAGGAAGTGTGCCACTGATATTTTTCTTGAGATTTTCTTTTTTTCCTCCACACATGCTTTTTATCTCTGTCAACTAACTTCCTTCTAATTTATTTGTTCCACTAAAGTGACAGAATTGGGTCACTTACTCTGAAGCCTGTGTGGAAGATAAAAGTGCTCTTGTGCAAGCCAAGCCAGAGAAGAAGTCTTTGAATTCCAGGTGCTTTCAATGGAACCAAATTAACATTCAAGGCTGCACTTGGCTAGCTAGAGTGCCTCTTTCAGGGAGTGGGAAATTGGGGTGTTTATTTATAGCTCTCTTTGAAAAGAGTAGTGTCCATTGTTGATTTTTTTTTTAAAGGGCCTCTTTCCAACTTGACATAGTTTTCTTTCTGATCAATCCTCTTTCCTAAATTAATGTTGATTGCCAATTAAGCAACATGTGTACACTCACATTTCAAGTACTGGGACAAGATTATCTAGGAGCATGGTGTACGTGTAATCTATTTTATTTAATGTAGCACACTTTCGTTGGATCCTTAGAATACTCAAGTCATTTTCAGAAAGGTTCGAAGAATTCTGCATGTCAAAGAAGTGTTAATATAATGACATGAGATCCAGTGTTACAGAGATTAACTGAAGGAACAAAAGTTACTATAGAGGTAGGAAATGTTATTTTTACTGACAACAGAAACAAAACTTTTAGGAGCTACTCTTAAAGGATAGTTAAGTTTCACAAATTAATTCTAAAGGTTAGTTTTCCACAATTAACTAGTTACTGATGCTTCCAAGAAGTGTAACTGACTGTCTCCTCACATGCAGATTCCTTTTATACACTACTTTTCCTAGAACATCTCTTCTACCTATAGCTTAATTTTTTATACATATGTCTCCAAACTAGGAGACCCTTAAGAGTCTTCAAAACCTGATATGGGGTGTATTAGTTACTTTTCTGCTGCTGTGATGAAATGTTATGACCTTGGAAACTTACAAAAGGAAGAACCTGTGGTTATAGGGGCTGAGTCCACCACAATGGAGAGGCCTGGCAGCAGGTAGCAGGAGAAAAGAGCTGAAAAATGTTTTACCATGAGCACAAAGCAGAGAGAGTGAACTGTAGTGAGACAAGGCCCACCCCCAGTGACACATTTTCTCCAGTAAGTCCACAACCCCTAAACTTCACCCAAGCTGCCGCCAGCTGGGGACCAAGTATTCAAATGCCTGTAGGAGACATCTCATTCAAACTACGACCCTGGGCTAGCATTAGCCCTACAAGAGTAAGCATTTATAAGCATTTGTTCCTTGTGATCTCATAGATATTACTGGTTGGAGCCCCCAGGAATTGACTTCTGTTACATATTGGAATCGCCAGTAAAATGGAAAATAAAATAAAGGACACTATTATTATGAAAATTTAAAATGTTTCCAAATTTTGGCTGAATAATATCGTGAACCCCATGTATGCATCAGATGTGTCTAAGGTTGATTCCTCGTCCACACCTCCACATGCCCACTATCACCTCACTAAAGTTTTGATATTTTGAAGCAAATTGGAAAGGTTATTTAAAACCACTGACTGAATTCTAACTGAATGTAGGACAGGCTGTGTGCTGTGATGTGTACCAAGACTGAATCCTCTGGGGTAGAACAGCACGAATACATTTAAAGTCAGAGAGTTGGGCTATTTAGTGCTGAACTCAGGGGTTGGGAAATTTCTCTGTGTTGTCAGAACATATGTTCTGAGCTATGTTTGAGATCTTAATATTTTTGTATAATATAATATTGTTGTAACTAATATTATATTATAATCATATATTATCATATTAATATTATGTAATATACTTATGTCTGAGATAATAACAGAAATGTCAGGACCAGATGTAGGGAGACGAGATCAGCCATACTTGTTGCATCGTTTGCACTTACTCTGAGGTTAGTTTTATCTCCTCAATTACCATCATTATTAACTCTACTATGAGGTTAAGATGGGAAAATTGGAAACTGAGACATGAAGTGCCATCGCTAAGTGTGGTAGTTTGAATGTAATTGACTCCTTTAAGCTCATAAGGAGTGGCACTATTAGAAGGTGTGGCCTTGTTGGGGTAGGTGTGGCCTTGTTGAGGGAAGTGTGTCATTGTGAGGGCAGGTTTTGAGGTCTACTATGCTCAAGCTATGCCCAGGGTGGGCACACAGTCTACTCCTGCTGCCTGCAGATCAACATGTAGAACTCTCAGCTCCTTCTCCTGTACCATGTCCCACTATAATGATAATGGACTAACTATCTGAAACTGTAAACCAGCCAAATTAAGAATTGCTATGGTCTTGGTGTCTCTCTACAGCAATAGAAACCCTAAGACGCTAAGTATGCATATTAAACTAACTTTAAAGTCAAACAAATGATAATTCTCTAGTTAAAGAAAATGTGACTTTTTTTCATGATTTTCTACAACTTTTTCTAATGAAGACATTGCTTCATCTCAATTAAAGCAATATAGGTTAGCACAGGGAGTGTATGCCTTGTGCTGCAAGCTTTATCAAGAATGCATGGGTAGGGAGCTCAGGCATCAGGGTTGAAGCTACTCTTATTCTATCAAGTGACCATACTCTCAAACTGCCTCTTTTCCTGTAGATAGTGCAGCTCTCAGGCCTCATCAGAGACAACTTCTTCATTCAGTGGGTAGTGGTTAATGCACAAACCCACGTGTACTCCAAGTGTACTCAATGAGTGACTGTGGAATGCTCAGTCATCAATGCGACATCTGTGTCACACCCCTCCCCAAGGCTCAGGGACCACTGCAGGAGAGAGGACAGAAAGATTATAAGAGCCATAGGTCAGGGAGGACTAGAGCAAATGATGTCTTCTGGACATGACAGGACCACTGCACCCATGGACTCCCAGCAGCAGTGGCTACCTGCATAAAACCTAAACCAGACCAAGCCAATAAATGTTCTCACATGGACTAGGAAAAGGTTAATGAGTTCCTATCCCTAACTGGGGAGCTATAGACAGTTGATGGCTTCTGGGGGAGGGAGAGCTAGGTTTTTAAAACGGCTCCTGGTAGGTCAATAATGCTCTAATGGATGCCCCCTACCCAGAAATACATGGATGGCATAAATTGGAGTCAGTGAGCTATCAAATTAAACATAACATTTTTAAAAGGATATGATGTTGGGAGGATCAGGAAGAGGGAACGGATTTGAAGGAGTTGGAGATGAATAAGACCAAAATGCCTTGTATTAAATTCTCCAAGAGTTAATACACTATTTTCCAGCAAACTTTCATTCAATTTCTTTTAGTTTTGCTTGTATTTCTTAGTTTTACTTATGTGTATGAGTGTTTGGCTCACAAGTATGTCTGTGGACCATCTGTATGCCAGGTGCTGGAGGTCAAGAAGAGGGTATCAGATCCCTTGGGACTGGAGTTACGGACAGTTGTGTGTCACCATGTGGGTGTTTGTATCACCTTATGGGTGTTGGGTCGTGAATGCAGCCACTCTGCTAGAACAAAGGTGCTCTTAATCGCAGAGTCATCTCTTCATACCTAAAACAAACATTTTAAAGAAGTCTGACAAAAAATTCTGGGAAGGATGTAGGGAAAGAACCCTTTTTGGCTGTTGGTGGGGGTGCAAGCACATTCTTTGTGGGAATCAGTGTGGATATCTCTCAGGAAATTAAAGGTAGAACTTACATGATGTGACCCAGATGCACCACTCCTGGGCTTATACCTAAAGGATTCCATATCCTCCCACGGAGACACTAGCACACTGATGTTTGTGGTTCACGTCCTCACAATGGGAAGGGATCAGAATCAGCCCAGATGCCCACCAACCGGTGCACACATAATGAAAATGTGATACATCCACACAGTGGAATTTGTTCAGCTAAAAAGAAAAATCATGAAATCTACAGGAAAGTGGATGGATGTGAGAAGAACTATATTAAGCAAGTTGACTCAGAAAAAACAAAATCGACATGTTCATACTCACACACAGATCCTAGACTGCAATGTCTATGTATATAAATGAGTGCAAACCTAAAAAATTAGAAAAAAAGACCAAGAGAGGTTAAAGGGGTTCTGAGGAGGGCAACGGGACACGTATGGCATGAAAGTAGAAAGCAGGCTGGGTGTCTGTCCCCACATCTGCAATACAGCTCCTGTACCCATGTCTCAGGCAAAAGAGGGACAGAAAGACGGTGTCTGAGGAGCAGGAAATGTGCTGTGGGATTGTGTCTCCTATGAACGTCAGAAAAGCTACACCAGTGAAATCTCAGCAACTTGGCTGCCCAAAGAAGACCTGAACAGGGACGCATCAATAGACATGCTCACTCACAGAAGGAGGGAATTTCATCAGCCCTGAACCCTAGACAGAGAACTACAGTCTATTGCTAGGCAATGGTTGCCCACACCTTAAGTCCCAGCACCCCAGAGGCAGAGGCAGGCAGATGTTTGTGAGTTTGAAGCCAGACTGGTTTACAAAACACGTTCCAGAACAGCCAGGGCTGTTCCACCAAGAAACCCTGTCTTGAGATTGGTAAGATCAAGCCAAATAGATTAATGTTCACTCCAAAATTCAGCCAAGGAAGTGAGAATGTTTCTTTCATATGTATTTTGATATGAAACCTCACGTCAAAAAGTACTGACAGAAAAACCTACAAAAGTGTATTTTTCAAATGCAATTCCAATTTCAGAATATAAATCAATATAGATTAGTGGAGTGTATATTATATGCAGATTTCTACTGTTTTCAGATTTATTTTCACTATTTCAAAACGTCTGAGTTCTGCATGGCTGATTATGTGTTTGAGCAACGTTGCAGCTTTGGCAACTTGTCAAGATTCAAGGATAAAAGAATTTAGTTTTCATATTGTTATTTAATTTAAGCTTTCAGACAGCATTGAAAAAAAAGAAAACACTGAACGCCAAAATGAGCAGAGCAAAAAGCAAGATGGCTTAGGCCCTGTAGCTGCGTCTTTAGTCGTGCACAGAGCTTCTCTTCCCTCGGTTTTAATCAGCAGGGTATCCTCAGGAATGCCAAAACGTCCTCTCAAATGACACATTTTTCTGCTTAAACATCACTTCATAATCCATGCTCCATGCGCTTTGAAACCTTTAGACGAAAATAGTATAATGACGGATATTGCATTAGAGTGTGAAGCATCTGGGTATACATGCTTCCCTTTTGGAATGCTTCCAATTGTGCTGATATCTGATGCACAGAAGGATGGTTCAGGACCAGGAAAACAATTTGGAAAGGGGACACATAGCAAGGAAAGGGAGGGTCCAAGGTGTTGCACGTGCTGTGTTTATCTCCTTTTTCCAAAGCCCGAGACAGATAAAGGGGTCTATTAAATACCATACTCCTTTTACATCTTATGGTACTTGGCGGAAAGAATGCTTGGAAAAAGAATCGACAATCCTTATGTCTCCACCAACTGTGGAGAAGACTTCAGGGTGCAGGGAGCCTGTCTCGGATCACACCTCACAGGCTCGGCTGCCGCACTAAAAGGAACGAGGTTGCACAGGTAAAGAGATGGTTTCCCTAGGAAGACAGCGAAGCATCCGCTACGATGCCCCCAACTTCCACTGTCCCCTTTCAAGGTTCTGGAGAGGCGCCCAGGATGCCCGAGGATTTGTAACATTTGCAAAAGTCAGCTGTTTGAACTGAAACTGTGTGAGGCCCTCATTTCTTGTCACTTTTGATTCCCTGCATCCTACTTCTGTGGCACCAGATGATCACTAGAATTTTGATGATCCAGCTAACAGAAAAGTGAGGTGGGATAACATTTGGATAAGAATAAGTGGGCTATCCTTCTGTGGCTCGTGTCAGAGCCAGGGATGTTATATTATTGCTAGCTCTCCTGGCATGGGAATGGCTCTTACTAGCTATGCTAAGCCACTGAAAATGAGACTCAGGGACTGTCATCCATGATGGGTGTGACCCTTGTACGAGTCAAAGTCCACCCATGAAATGCAGCCCAGAAAATGTAGTAAAATACAGGTAGAAAGGTGTCAATTACAAAGTCTCATGTATTTTCTTGATTTTCGTCATATATCAAATGTGTCAATATATCAGTTATATGACAGTCTCAAATATATCAATTATATATCAATATCAACACATCAAAACCTATATCAACCAGATTTTGAAAAATTGTGTTTTATGATAGCTGCTTTTCTAAAAAAAATGCTAGAGAAAATTCTAAAAGAAAAAATATCTTAAAACTTCATTTTTACATTTGGCATTTATTTTCTACAGATAACTCCCAAAGTATTTATGCTTTGGATAACTTAGTCTATATATTTATGGCCAGTTCCAAAAAGAAAGAAAGAAAGAAAGAAAGAAAGAAAGAAAGAAAGAAAGAAAGAAAGAAAGAAAGGAGACTCTACCCATATTCTGATGTAGACTTCAGGTCCCGTGCGAGATACTCCTTGGCTCAGCAGTATCCCTGATGTACTATCTTTTGGTGGTTCACCACAAGCACTGGGATCGGAACTTCTTTTGTGCCCCTCATCTATTGGTAGACTTTCCCCATTAACTCAAGGATGACCTAGGAACAAGTCCCTTGTGTTTATGTGTTTATGCTCTGCGTCTGAGCCAAGGAAACCCCTGTCTGCTTTCTTCTTAAAATTGTGGTTTGCTTGTTTGTTTTACTACTTAAACTTCTATTCAAATTTAATTTTCTCAAAAGACATTCATGTCGCCTGTTAATTTAAATTCCTACTTAAATTATCCACATAAGCATATAACATCATAGGGCATTTTTTTCTTCCCTTTGTTCTCCTTTTACATATATTGTTGTTTTCTACATAACTCTGTGTGTGTGTGTGTGTGTGTGTGCACGTGCACACATGCATAATAGTGGGAAAGTGAATCAGTGCAAAAAGAGAAGAAAGGAGAGAGAAAGGTAGGAGGAACAGAGATGTGAGAATAGCTATCAAAAGAATACAAAATAGGAGAAGGGACATCATGGATAGTCCAAATGGCTCATTTTAAATGCTTTGAGCTCATCCTCATTGTTTTGTTATTTTTGTTTTGTTTTGTTTTTTATACCTTCCATAATAAGTCAACACAGACTTAGTGGCTTAAACAAACATTTTCTGCTATTGTTCTTGAGGCACACACACACACACACACACACACACACACACACACACACACACACGCTCACTCACCTAAAGAATTCCCAAGGAAAATTCCATTGCTTGCCCCTGGCAGCTTCTCCTGACTCCAGGTATCCTTAGGTTTGAGGCACTGTGGGTCCAGTCACGGTGTCTGTCTATGTGTGGTCTGCTCCACTGCCTGTCTCTCTCTTTGTCTCTCACCTACCAAGTCTGTGATGGTGGGTAGGGCCCACTCACATAATCCAGCACATTAATTATCTGAACATCATTAATTATCTGAACATCTTATGACATATGCAAAGGTTTATTTTTCCTCCAAATAAGAGTATCTGCTAATTTGGTGTTCATTATCCAACCCACTATTACAATGGTGATACTTTTATCCTTATTTGGTATTTTGCAGTGACAAGATCTCTACAAACACAAGTTAAGGAAGTGTGTTTCAGCACACAATTTGAAGGCACTTCTCATCTTGGAAGAGAAGACATGCTGTCAGGGGTGCTGTTGGAATCCCTCACTCTCTTGAATCTTGGAGGAACAGGGGGCAGAAAAGAGAGAGGAAGTGAGGCTGGGCTACAAAATGGTGTCTTAAAAATGACACCCAGTGACCCACTTCCTCTGATGACAAGACACCTCCTGTCACTTCTGCCACCTTCCAAAAACAGCACCAGCAGCTAGGGCCACATGTCAAAGTACATGAGTTTACAAGAGACATTTCATATTCAAAACCCTAACACCTAGATAAGTTATTTATAAAGTCCAAATACACAGGTTGAGGTGTTAGTGTGACTTGAAATAACCAAAACAGAAAATGAATCTGGAGTGTTCAATGCACAGATAAATCACCACCACTGATGAATACTGTCATTGTGAGGGCAGGGGTGTCCAGTCTACAAGACAACCGATTCCTTCAGGCTTATCTGTCCTGTACCCTCTATTCAATAGACCTAAAGACATGTGTAACACAAAAGTGGAGGTCTTTTAAGAAGTATCTCTAGGGACTGGAGCGATGATTCAGAGGTTAAAAGCACTTGCTGCCCCCAGACCCGTGTTTGATTTTCACTATCTACATGGCAGCCCACAACTGCAATTCCAGGGATCCAGTGCCCTCTTCTGGCTTCTATGAACACCTTGTAAGCTCATAGCATCTGTAGGCAAAACATCCATATACATATTTTTAAAGTATTTCTAATTGTTACATCTTTATTGTGTCATATCATCTGTCTGGAGAAAGAAGATTCTAAGTTAGATGTTGCTCTGTCCAGCGGTAGCTATAGGGTTTTATCAACTTCAAATATAAAACATACATATCATTGTGCTTTGGATGGGAAATGTTCCATGTAGGCTCATGTATTTGAACACTCTGTCCCTAGTTAGTGGTACTGTTTGAGGAGGTCATAGAACTGTCCTAGTTAGGGTTTCTGTCACTGTGAAGAAACTCCATTACCATGGCAACTCTTATAAAGGAAAACATTTAATTAGGTAGCTTACAGTTTCAGAGGTTTAGTTCATTATCATCATGGCAGGACACGGCAGTTAGTGTACAGGCAAACATGGTACTGGAGTTGAGAGTTTAAATATTTGATCAGCGGGCATTAGAAAGTGATCTTGACTAGGTATAGCTTGAGCATAGTAGACCTCACCTGGCCCCCCCCACACACATACAATGATACACTTCCTCCAACAGGACCATGCCTGTTTCGACAAGGTCACACCTCCTAATAGTGGCACTCCCTTTGGGTTTATTGGGGGCAATTACAGTCCAGTTACCACAGGAACTTTTAGCAGGCAGAATTTTGATGGAAGACATATACCACTCACACTTGAGAGTTTATAGCCTATTCTCGCCCTGCTGTCACTTGCTCCCTGTGTGTGGATGAGATGTGATCATTCTGCTTCCTAACTCCAAGACCTTCCCTGCCTTCCCTCTGGAACTGTAAGCCTAAATAAACCCCTTTCTCTCCTAAGTTGATTTTTGTTGGGATAGTCTTTCACAGAAACAACAAAGTGACTAATATACCCACATAAATAACCACATTCTATATTGTATATTTTCAACTGAGCACTTAGCTACACAGCATTCAGCAAATGAGGAATGGGTTTTATAAAACTCTCCTGTGGATAAAATGATATGTAGCATGTACAATGGTTGAGAAATCATATTGGCAGATGGATAATATAATACCGCATTTATCTTTAAATCTATCATATAAAAATGTTAGGAAACACCTGTGTTTACACAAAGTTGTTGAAGTTTAAAGTCACATAAGCACTTTGAAATTATCCCCTAAGTGTCTATTTATAATCAAATTATTGGGTATTGTCTTTGCACAGTTCATGAAAAGGATGTTTAAAACTCGGCCAGCTTCCTTAGGTATAGAGTTTGCCGAATTATCTTAATAAAGAGATGGGGATGATAGGGTTAATTTTTGTGATAGCCTGAGAATGCATGATTTAGCTGTGTAGATGCCTTTTGGTAACAACTTTTTGGTGCTTTAAAGCTCAACAAAACTTTTTAAAAACTATATATATTGAGAGAGAGAGAGAGAGAGAGAGAGAGAGAGAGAGAGAGAGAGAGAGAGAGAGAGAGAGAGAGAGAGGGTACAAGCACACTGTGGCACGTGTGTGGACGCCAGAGGTCAATTTGAGGGAGTTGGCTGACTCCTTCCACCAGGGATTGACTTTAGGTGATCAGACTCAGCAGCAAGTGCCTTAACTTGCTGAGTCATCATCTTTCCAGCCATCACTATAACTCATTAGCAAACAATAAATATTCCTTTCATCGTGTTACTGGGGAAACTGTAGCTTCCTTTTTGTGTCTTTAATTGCCTTAACCTAAGAATTTTTAAGCAAACTCAGGGGGAAGTTCTAAGATAAGTTTCGAGTTTGAAAGCAAAAAAAAAAAAAAAAATGAGACAGACAATCAGCAAGGCCTGGCAGCTGCCTGAGGAAAGAGACAAGATGAAGAGAGAAAACCATAAGTTTCAAAATGGAGTTCAACATGCAGATACATGAAGAAGGCAAGGGGCAGGAACATCAGAGAAAGAGAAAGAGCATCAGGGAAAGTATTCCTAGGCTTTGGCCAGTATCTGGGAGAAAAAGAGACCAAAATCAGGAAAAGAAAAGGTTATGCTATTCTGTGTAACCCAGGGAATGAGTAGGGAATACTACAAGATGGAATCTCTGTCAGGAAATGCAATGAAGAAGAGGCGTCTGGAGGTAGAATTAGTCCTTCCCATCCTTAGCATGTCTCCAGTGAATCGGCTTTCCTGGGGGTTAGACTCCTAGCCAAGTGATTAATAGTTGCAGCTAGATAAACTCTTAAAGGAAGGAGGCATGGGGTGTAATGTTGGATATCTAAGAATCTCAGGTACCCAGGTATTCTATTCTTTTGACCAGGAGGAAGTAGTTGTTCTTTAATGGGCATCAACAAATCCCAGATACTTCCACTCATTCTGTGGTAATTTAAATACAAAGAAGGGGTATCCTTTTTTAGTGTTACCAGGGAAACAGGAGCTATATCCAAAGTTCGTGAGGAAGGCATCCATTCTCAATGGCATCCACACCTACTATCTGTCTGGCTACCCAACAATAGCAACAGCTGTATCAAAAGGGAAGGAAAGAAATGGGGAGGGATATTAAATTGGAGATCTAACAATGTATGTTGTTTTGTCTACTCTTGTGATTTCAAGTCACATCCATGAGCTAACCAATTAAGAATTCACCTTGGCTAAGATTCTTCTCTTGAACCTATCCTATATTCACACACACACACACACACACACACACCAGGCCTCAACTAAGATGATTAGCCTTGCTTCCAGTGTTCCCACACTTTGTGAGGAGTACCTAGAAACTTTGACCACTTGAACAAACTCTCATGATGTTACATGATGTTATCAGTTACATGAATGGAACAAATCACTCTGCTAGAAAATCATTAGATAATTATATTGGTGTCTTGGGGGCTTTTATTGTTGTGCCTAACACTATGACAAGTTGGGGGAGTGTCTTAGTTAGGGGTTTTATTGCTGTGAAGATATACAATGACCACCACTGCAACTCTTACAGTTTCAGAGGTTCAGTCTATTATCATCATGGTGGGAACCATGGTGGTATGTTGGAGAAGTAGCTGGGAGTCCTACATCTTGCAGGTAACAGGAAATGATCTGAGAGTCACACTGAAAGAAGCTTGAGCAAAAGAGACCTCAAATAGCACCCCAACAGTGGCACACTTCCTCCAACAAGGTTATGCCTACTTCAACAAGGCTATGCCTCCTAATAGTGCCATTCTCTGTGAGCTTATGAGGGCCAATTACACTCAAATTACCACAATAAAGATGCTGTAGTATGGGAAGAAATCAGTCACTACATGCACACATGAAAAGTCACCTTTACTCCTTTTGACTGTTGATAGCAAATACACCCAGTCCTTGATGTCTGCATGCTATCTTCCCTTAGAAATCTTCTGCTTTGGGAATTTCTCTTTCATTTTCCAATAAACATTCTCTAGAGCCTATGGGTTTCATTCCTTGTCATCTGCAGAGCATGATCTTGAGGCCGCAGACCATGGCTCTTATACTTCTAGCTCTGTCATTCACTGCATCCCAGATCTGTAACATTTAGTCTTCCTGCCTGCTGCCTGGGCCACTTTTAGCCCCCAAATAACACACAAGACACTATATTAATTATGACGCTGTTGGTTGTTCGCTATGATTTCTTATTGTTTAGCTCTGACTTAATTGTTAACCCATAATTGCTAATCTGAATATTTCCATGTGGTCTTCGCTTACTCCTCTGACTCCCTACATCATGACTGCCTGTGCCTCTCTTTCCCAGAATTCCCCTCAACTCCTGGTCCCACCTATCTTGCTTTCCTATTGGCCAACAGTGCTTTATTCAACAACCAATAAGAGAGACAGATTTACAGAATGACATTTCCCATCATCTCTTTTTTGTCTAAATAAAAAGAAAGGTTTTAACTTTAACATAGTCAAATTATATGTAATAGAACAGTTATCAAGTAAGAACTATAGTTACAATATTTTGACCATTGATGTTTAATAAGATTTAAAGAAAATATTTTATTATCTATCCTATCTGTGTGAGTCTAAAGTCTTATATGTAGCTTATCTTTTATCATAACTAAGGAAAACAGTAACTATAACTAGTTGCCTTCAACTCCATCAAAGACCACAGAAGGATAACATATAAACTCTAAAATTGACAGAGACACCTCACTACCTGGACAGTCACCTGAAGTTCCTCTGTAACGTTGAAGCATCCATCTTCAGCCCATAGGCCACAGTGTACCTGGTAGACTTCTCAGCAAAGCAGGAAATTTTAAACTGTCCACCTATATTGGCAGTTTGTCAGTCATTTTTCTGTGTCCTGCAGAATGTCTGGCAGACTCTTTCATGAAACACGAACCCTGTCCATCAAGTTCAGCAGTCACTTTCCTGTAGGTCCTGCATGTCCAGTTTATACAGCAACAGTCAAACAGTCCAGACAAGAGCAGTTTCTTGCCCAAATGGCTAATCTTGCCATGTTGAAAGCAAACTCCATAATTAGTTTCTCCAGTGCCCATCTTCCTCTCAGATGTAATTGATGTGCCAGGAGCAGATATTTCTCATTGTCAAGAAAAGCCCTAAACCATTTTAAATGCCATTTTCTGAAGGTCTTTGAAAGGTTTGAAGACTATCTATCTCAAATATATCTCTGTATATCTACAAAACCCAACTAAACTATAAATTTTGACTATTATAGGTAATTATTTATAATCTGTACTTAATTATACATTATATTTTAAAAGATCAGTATAAATACAATACTTAATCAAGAAAAGAAATATACATATCACAAAATTGACCTTAAAATTATATCAATAATTGAAAATCCATACCAATACAAAGTATTCATTTCCATACCATAATCTCCTTTTACCTTTAAAAAGATTGGTTGTGGCTCTCTGCTCCTCCCTGTTTTAGACACAGCCGCATCTCTTCGTGCAGTGCCAGCCTTGTTCCTGAGACACAATGGTGAAGGTCAGAGTGAACAGATTTGGCCGTATCAGATGCCTGGTTACCAGGGCTGCCTTCATTTCTGGCAAAGTGGACATCATTGCCATCAATGACCCCTACATTGACCTCAACTACATGGTCTACATGTTCCAGTATGACTATACCCATGGCAAATTCAAAGGCACAGTCAAGGCTGAGAATGGGAAACTTGTCATTAATGGGAAGGCCATCACCATCTTCCAGGAGCAAGATCCCGCCAACATCAAATGGGGTGATACTGGTGCCGAGTATGTTGTGGAGTCCATTGGTGTCTTCACCACAATGGAGAAGGCTGAGGCGGCCCACTTTAAGGATGGAGCCAAGAGGGTCATCATTTCTGCCCCTTCTGCTAATGCTATGTTTGTGATGGGTGTGAACCATGACAAATATGACAACTCCGTTAAGATTGTCAGCAATACGTCCTGCACCACCAACTGCTTAGCCCCCCTGGCCAAGGTCATGCATGACAACTTTGGCATTGTGGAAGGACTCATGACCACAGTCCATGTTATCCCTGCCACCCAGAAGACTGTGGATGTTCCCCCAGGGAAGCTGTGGCATGATGGCCGTGGGGCTGCCCAGAACATCATCCCTGCATCCACTGGTGCTGTCAAGGCTGTGGGCAAGGTCATCCCAGAGCTGAACCGGAAGCTCACTGGAGTGGCTTTCCATGTTCCTACCCCCAATGCGTCTGTCGTGGATCTGATATGTCGCCTGGAGAAAGCTGCCAAGTATGAAGACATCAAGAAGGTGGTGAAGCAGGCATCTGAGGGCCCACTGAAGGGCATCCTGGGCTACACTGAGGACCAGGTTGTCTCCTGCAACTTCAACAGTGACTCCCACTCTTCCATCTTTGGTGCTGGGGCTGGCTCCTGGCATGACAATGAATTCGTCTACAGCAACAGGGTGGTGGACCTCATGGCCTACATGGCCTCCAGGACCATCCACCCCCAGCAAGGACTTGAGCAAGAGAGAGGCCCTGGCTGCTGAGCAGTCCCTGTCCAACAACCCCCACACTGGTCATCTCCCTCACAGTTTCCATCCCAGACCCCCAGAATAAAGTAAGGAGGAGCCTAAGGAGCCCTGCTCTCTTGAATACCATCAATAAAGTTCACTACACCCCCCCAAAAAAAGAGATTGGTTGTGATCATTAACCAATTACAAGTAACCCCATTTAAATAAAAACAAAAATTTATAAACAATATGTGGGAAATTGGACATTCTTCATTCCAAACTGCTTCCTGCTGATAGGGGGAGCTGTCCATATCATAGGGATCATGACAAAACTCAGAAACCTGGCCAAGTCCCTGTATTTTGTAATCCGTAAGGCTGCATCATCTCAGCTGTTTTAGATGTTGGATCACTTGGGCCACTGCTTTCGGGGGTCTTGGTTCATCAAACCACAGAAGCCTAGAAGGAATCCACAGCTTTCCATTTTCTGTGGAAACATAAACAAAACTCTTTTCCCAAGTAACCTGTCCTTATATTTAAATTTAGAAGTCAAAGTATTTTCAAAAGATATAAGTTGGATTAATTCAGCAGCAATTATAATCAAGTATATTTCAGCAGTTGTTTCTTTCTTAGCAATTGGACAGCTGAAAAACACAACAGCATACAGTATCCAGACTCTCTGTGTATTTTCCATCTTTACGCGGCTTTTTTATTACTCTATTGCTTTTACTTCTATTTTTTTTTCTCTGAGACAGGGTATCTCTTTGGAAATCTGCCTCTACCTCTGGAGTGCTGGGATTAAAGCTGTATGCCACCACACCCAGCTACTCTCTTTATTTTTATTTTTTTTCCAATATCTTATTTCTTTTAATCCCAAGTCTACCTATATTTTACTTCATCTGAATCTGACTTTACTGTAAAACTTTTTTTTTCTGGCCACGTGTCTTATATAGGCTAAATTAAATTGCTAAAATTAAAGTGGAAACAGCTACTGGCTTTCCAACATGGCGGGCATAAGTTTGCCGCCTGCTCACTGGGAGCTGTGCTCACCACCTAGTCTGTGCCGACATCAAGCAAATGCTGCCAGCTTGGAGATGTGGTCACTTCCACTTCCAGCTGCGCACACACACCATTCAATTGCTAGCAGAGTCTCTTAAAAGAGCCTTGCAGTTTTTCCGCTTATGGTGAGTCTGTTTGTCTCTAGCAAAACAGAAACCACGAAGCCATGCTTCTCTCTGTTCTTTTGTTTCTAAAATCACTTTTAAGCTTTTGTCATTCTACGTAGAAATTTGTGCCCCACATTCTGACACCACATGTAACGTGCAGTCTTCCCTCCTGCCGCCTGGGTCTGGCCCAAATAACACACAGGATGCTATATTAATATGAAGCTGTTGGCAGTTCGCTATGATTTCTTATCGGCTAGCTCTGACTTAATTGTTAACCCATAATTGCTAATCTGAATATTACCATGTGGTCTTCGCTTACCAGAGAACATGGTCCAGACTTCTTACTCCTCTGGCTTCCTACATGGTGACTGTCTGTGCTTCTCTTTCCCAGAATCCTCCTCTACTCCTAGTCCCACCTACCTTGCTTTCCAATTGGCCAACAGTGCTTTATTCAACAACCAATAAGAGAGACAGATTTACAGAATGGCATCTCCCATCACAGAGCCTCTGCTCATCCTTGCCCCCTCTCCTACCCTTGCTTTTAGTCACTCCTAATCCTTTCAGTTTCACAAGTGTGCCCCATGCTTGCTGCCCTACCTAACCTCACTGGCACCGGCAAAGGCTCACACTCTCATCCTCTTTCCTCACTGTTGATTTTCTTCCTCAAGTCTGTCCTGCATCTAGACACACGACTAATACAGCCAAAGGAACTATGCCATCATCCTTCTTAATACAACACCAGTCTCCTTCTCTTCCACCTCTCCACACACATTTTCCATTTTTGTCTTTCCAACACAGAAATTACTGCAGTCATATACCCTGTGATGCTCAAGGCTCCTGAGGCCTTCTCAGGTGGTATCTCTCAGCTGATTATAACCTAATGAATTCCTCCTTCTTTATGTGTGAACACAGAACCCCTTCGGGAAGAATCCCCTGAACTTCCAAATTGCTTTGCATATCTGCTTGAATTTCTGTATTCCCAGAGACGGACCTCAGTTACTGCTTCTCCTCGTCTCATTATAATTAGCAGTTTGCGCATATAGTTCCATCCGTAGATGAAGCCCCATAAGGATCAGAACTGCTCACACTTCCTTTGTGTTTTCCGTTACTTGGAGCACTACAGGAGAACAAACAGATGAGTAAGTGGGTTGATGGGACTCTCATATTAGACGTTCTCCTGTGGAAGAAAGGCTTCTGTTACTCTTCAAAGATCACCACATAACCCAATTGCCTGTCCTAAGGAAAGATAAAACCCAATTACATGTTAGGTCACCTCAACAGCAGAGTGTGGAAATGAACATCCAAGGTAAAATTCTACTCTGAGATGTACGTTCTGTCGGAGCACCTGGGAAAGTGGATGTTCTCCAGTCCCTCACTCAGCATATGCTGCTCCCATTGAATGGGGTGCCATTCCCTTTAGCTGAGTGACCTCATCCCCAGGACCTACAGTTTTACAAGGTCATCCATAGCTCAGTGGGCAGATTCCAAGCATAAGTCACAAGAAGGAGATATGTTTCAAGTTTTCAGGTTTGAGGAGGTATTGTTGTATAGACAGTAATACAGTTTGAATGTCAAAAAAGTAGTACAAAGTCAAAAGCCACTGAGGTACAAAATAAGGTTTCTGAGTAAATATACGAAAACACTCTGTGCTGTGACTTTTTGGATTTTTGAGACAGGGTCTCACTGTGGCCCAGGCAGAGGTGGCAGTCACTCTGTGGCCCAGGGTTATGTCATAGTCAGAGCAGTTCTCCTACCTCAATCTCACGAGTGCTGGGGTGACAGGAACAAAGCATTGTATTTATACATCCCCGTAAAGAGAAAACAGTGTTGAGAATATAAGCTTAGTATACACCTCTTTTTTTTTTTTTTTGATGATCAGAGGAATGGGATTCATCTTTTGATACAAAGTCCAAAATATTGGACACAGAGCTGGTGGTTTGCTCACCATGGTCTGCATAACTGTTTCAATTTTTAAAAACTGTGGCAAATAAAAATCACAGTAACTCATGAAGTATGACTATACAGCCTAATGTGTAACTATCTTAAAAATGCCTCTTCCTAGCCGGGTGGTGGTGGCGCAAGCCTTTAATCCCAGCACTCGGGAGGCAGAGGCAGGTGGATCTCTGTGAGTTTGAGGCTGGGCTTGTCCGACAGCCTTCAAAACAATACAGAGAAACCCTGTCTCGTAAAACCAAAAAAAAAAGCCTCTTCCTGTAGTTTGGATATAAAATGTCATCTCCATAGGTTCATGGTTACATACTTGGTCCTCAGCTGGTAGTACTGATTGGGAATGTTCTGGAACCTTCAGGCACTGGAGCCTCACAGAGAGAACTACTGTTACTGGGAGCAGGCTTTGAGTTTGTTTTGTTGTTGTTGTTTGTTTGTTCTTCCTTTTTGGTTTTCCAAGACAGGGCTTCTCTATGTCATAGTCCTGGCTGTCCTAGAACTCTCTCTGTAGGCCAGGCTGGCCTTGAACTCAGAAATCTACCTGCCTCTGCCTCCCAAGTGTTGGGATTTAAAGGTGTATTGCCACCACTGCTAGGCATTGGAGTTTTACATGCCATCATTCCTTCTTTTTCCATGTTTTCTGGCTCCTGTCACTGTTACCCACCTTCTCTGCCATCCTGGATTGTTTTTCCTCTGAAACCATGAAACAAGGTAAACTCTTTCTCTCTGAAGCGCCTTTGCCAGTGTGGGTTTTTTTTTTATCCCAGCAACAGACAAGAAACTAATACACTCCAAAACCATCCCCACAGTCAAGAAGTAGAACCCTGTCACTTGCAATGAGCTGAATTGTGTCTTCTTCAAATTCTTGGGCTGAAGATGTTGGGGTGTTGGAAACGGTTGGAGTATGACAGCAGTTAAAGAGCCTCTAGACGCTATAAAATTAATTAAGACATAGAGTGGACCTTAATCCTATAGGGTGGTATTGTCATATAAAAAAGAAATGTGGACATACAGATAGACACCACACTTGTGTGCACAGAGATCATGAGAGAAGATAGATGGGTGAACCTTAGGAGGAACTAACCCTGATGACACCTTCATCTTGGACGTCTAGACTTCAAAACAGAGAAAAAAGTAGATTCTATTGATTAGTGGGATTTTGTTATGGAATTGTCCAAGTACTGTGTGTTCCCGCTTAGTGACAAGACTAAGACCTATCAGACACTCACTTGACTTAAAGCACTAGTCAGCATTATGTCTAATTTCACAAACTCTTTCATATACTAGAGAAAAATGTTCTCAAAATATAAATTATAGTATGTATAATCAATTTTAATTAAAAATAGAAATTCCCGCATCCATATAACTAAAGTGTGTCATAAGAAAAGAACAAATGGGCATGAAAGAGAATTAGCTATAGATAATGAAAATTAACATAACAATTTTGAAGTCCATAGCACAATAGACATTTTGATGGTAATTATGATAAAACATACTTTGTCATTGTTTTGAAAACCTGCCATGAGGTTTTAAGTAAACATGATTTCTAATTTAAATTAACTTTCCACACATAAGCTAAAACATATAAGTGGGACTCCATGTGACTTTCACTTTTCAATTTCACTGCAATTTTACTATCTATACTTATATCCAAAACGTTATAGCTCTGTCTCACAAGTTTTTCAGCATTTTTCATAAGAATAATTGGAATGTGAAAGACTTTGAGGAAAGCCTCTGCTCCGTGACTGACAATGGCCAGCATCTTTTGTGTCTTCACCTTGCCAGGCCTTAGCTACATGAGAGACCTGCTCTTTGGTTTCTTGCCCAGCTCCCTGGAAAGTTCCTCCAGTAACCAATTACCACCTGGGGAATGTCAGTCAATGATTCAAACACTCACACTCCTTCCCTTAGCCATGGTTGCAGGTGCTGAATGTCAAATTGACGTTTTGAGTCACAGTGAAAACTGTTTGGGGAATTTTGTGACACTTATCGAAAGACTGTCAACCAGAACTGTCACATCCCAAGATAGAAGATGAGGAGCTTCGCCCAGATGAGCTTCCCTTAAAGAAGCAGTGTCTTACCTAGGGTTTCTATTGCTGTGAATAGACACCATGACCATGGCAACTCTTATAAATAAAAACGTTTCATTGAGGTTGCTCGATGACAGTTTCAGAGGTTCAGTCCCTTGTTATCGGGATGCGAGCATGGCAATATTCAGGCAGATGTGGTGCTGGAACCGAGAGTTCTACACCTTGGCTCAGAGGCAACAGGAAGTCAACTGACTGTCATACTGAGGGAAGCTTAAGAAAGAGACCTCAGAGCCCTCCCCCATAGTGACACACTTCCTTCAACAAGGCCACACCTCCTAATAGTGCCATTCCTTTTGGGGGCCATTTTCTTCCAAACCACTACAAGGGGTAATACCCAATCCTTGCTCATTTCTCCAGGTTCTTATTGATGTACTTTAATTATGCTCACTCATGGGTTTCATCAAAACACTTGCATTCATGTATATAATATATTTTGAGATCATGCTGCGTCCATCCCTTCCCCCCAGTTATGCTCTCTGTCCTATTCCTGCCAATCTCTTCCTCTTTCCAACAGGCACAAGAGTTTGAGTGTGATTGGGCCTTACTTGTCCCATTTGTGTTTAACCCTACTATCTAGAACCAAGAACCTAAGATGAACCGAGACAGTATCTTCCCAGGCCATTGTCTCATGCTAAAGAAATCCAAAGACGCAAACTCATGTGTGAATACGCAATATGAGAAAAAGCTTTATTGAGATTTACAAAAAAATAAGAAATTAAGAAAAAGTGAGAAAAATTCCTCAACGGGAAAAAGGCCTGTTGAACTTCTTTGTCTAAGAAATTTTTTACAGGGTCGTGACAGAAACTGGATAAACTGCTGTGAGAGTAGTTAGTCATCCAGGCTATCATGGGCTGAACCAATGAGGGTCCATATGCTCTATGTATTCTTGGCCTAACTAGAGAGATGACTGTAACAGTTCATGTGCTGCCCACCTACTTAGGAGTGGTTGAAGCCTCCTCTATCCATCTCTAACTCTTGTTTTGCTAGTTCTTCTGACCTTAGCTATGTGTTAGCTGTTGGTCACTTGGCTGCCATTGCTGTTCCCAACTTTTCAGGAGCCTCCAATGCTATTAATTACACTAAACTTTCTTTGTTCTTGCAGCTATTGAGAATTAACTTTTTGTTTATGGGACAGTCTGGTGACTCTTTCATGAAATGAATTTAGTATGGTACCATTAGCTGCATTAAAATGAAGAATATGTAATGGAATGATAGTGCCTCGTACCTTGTACACATCCTCAGGGGCCATCTAGTCAGCCTACCCAATACTTGCCCTGCTTCTCCAAGTCTGCCTGTCTCTGATCAGGTTTGTTGAACTGTCTCATACTCAATTTTGAGCT